GTGTCAAGTGTCTGAGGCTAGATTTGAACTCAGGTGCTCTTGACTCCAAGGCCTGAGCTCTATCCACTGTGCCACCTAGATGCCCCCTCTTGCTTTATTCTTACTGAAAGCTAACAAGAGAGGTCTCTCTTTGCGTTATTTCTTTTTATTGATCTCTATCAATTTTTTTTAAAAAGAATGACTGTTTTTAAATTCTGAACTTAAATACCAAAAAAGAGCATTTACACACACAGCAGAACACAAAAAGAGGATTCTCTGTGGAGCATCCATTTCATAGGATTTGCTTTTTAATAAAAGTGTATAATAAATTCTATGTTATTTTCAAAACTGTCATGCTTGTCTCTGTGTATCCTTCTGAAGTCCTTTTGTTCATTTAAAAATACTTCAGTGGCCCATCTTTTGTTTTTTGGTGTCACTATTGCTTCCACAATTGAAAACTAGGAGAAAGGGAAGAAGAAAAAGAACCCTTGTAATAAGTGCATTCAAGCAAAATGAATCCATTCACTGGGCTCGTCTAAAAATGTTTATCTCTTTCTGCACCTCGTGTCCATTACCTTTCTGTCAGGAAGCAGGTAACATGCTTCATCCTAGGCTTTTAAAATCTTTTAAAGTTCTTTTTCTCTATAATATTGCTATTGTATAAATTGTTCTCCTGGTTCTCGTCTCTATGTCAAGCCAGGAATCAAATTGGCGCCTTTGTTTTTTATGGTACAATAATATTCCTTACCCCATGGGTTTTTTAAAAAATATTTTCTATGTCTGAGAAGCCATCTAAGGCCTCTCATAGAGTTCCTGCTTTTCTTTCTCCCCCCGCCCCACCTTTTATTCTCCCTTTTAGGATCAGGAAGTTTTTTTTTTTCCCTTGTAAGTCACTACCTCTCTGATATTATCCTTCCTCTTAATCTCCCCAACTACCCTAGTCTTTACTTTTTTTCCCTGTTTTGTTTGAAAAATTGTGTGTGTTCATTTCATATGAGTAAGGTTCATCTGATACCCACACCTCCCACTCCTTCCTCCATATTGTATACTCTTATTCTCATACACTTCAATTATGATAAATAACAAGTTCTCTACCCCCTTCTTCTGCACTGGTGGGTTTTTGCTTTTACCCTCTCTTATCTTTCCCAGGAAAGATAAAAACTCTCAGGAAAAGAACCAATCTATTCCCAGGTCCTCTGTTTTTCTTATTTAACTGTTTCAATACCCTTTGAAGACATTACATTCTTTCTTTTTGAGCCCATAATAATTGTATTTGGGATTGATTTGAAGGTGAGATCACTGTTTGATTTAGATAACTGTGATAATTAATATTAATGAAGTGAGACAGTTTTGTTGTTGTTCAGTCATTTCATCACGTCCAACACTTCATGACCCCATGGACCATAGCATGCCATGGCCTTCTGTCCTCCACTGTCTCTCGAAGTCTGTCCAAGTTCATGTTCATTGTTTCCATGACACTATCTGCCCATCCCATCCTCTACCATCCCCTTTTCCTTTTGCCTTCAATCTTTCCCAGTATTAGGGTCTTTTCCAATGAGTCCTGTCTTCTCATTAAGTGACCAAAGTATTTAAGGTTCAGCTTCAGTATTTGACCTTCCAGTAAATAGCCTGAATCAATTTCTTTAAGCATTGACTAATGTGATCTTCTTGCTGTCCAAGGGACTCTCAAAAGTCTTCTACGGCACCGTAATTCAAAAGCATTGATTCTGCGGCACTCAACTTTCCTTATAATTCAACTCTCATAGCCATACATTGCTATTGGAAAACCTATAGCTTTAACCATGTGGATCTTTGTTGGCAAGGTGATGTCTTTTAATTTCATGACTGTAGTCCTGACCATTTGCAGTGATCTTTGAGTCCAAGAATAGAAAATCTGACACTGCTTCCATTTTTTCTCCTTCTATTTGCCAGGAAGTGATGGGACCAATTGCTAAAATCTTTTTTTTTTTATGTTAAGCTTCAAGACAACTTTTACACTCTCTTCTTTCACCCTCATTGAGGCTTCTTAATTCTTCTGCACTTTCTGCCATCAGAGTGGCATCGTCTGCATATCTGAGATTGTTGATATTTCTCCCAGCAACCTTCATTCTGTCTTTTGATTCATCCAGCCTGGCATTTCTCATTATGTAATGAGCATATAAGTTAAATAAATAAGGTGACATCTTATCATACTCCTTTTCCAAGCTTAAATCAGTCAGTTGTTCCGTGTTTAGTTCTAACTTTTGCTTCTTGATCTGTATACAGATTTCTCAGGAGATAAGTAAGATAATCTGGTACTCCCATCTCTTTGATGACTTGCCACATTTTGTTGTGATCCACACAAGCAGAAGTACATGTTACTCCCTTGCTTTCTCCATAATCCAGCAAATGTTGGCAATTTGATCTTGAGCTCCTCTGTCTCTGAACACCAGCCTGCTCTTCTGGTAATTCTCAGTTCACATATTGCTGGCACCTGGCTTGCAGA